GATCACCACGGTGTATGGTTAGAGTAATGTTGGGGAAGGTGTTCCTTCTGCTTTTTAGTTTTCCTTTCATTTTATCTTTTGTCTAGGACTTGCCAGTTGGTTATGTACTCTAGGTGTAGATTTACTGTGATACATTTAGCTAGTTTGTACGACCCATCCTCACTCTTTGTGATCGGTACGTGTTAATTACAATTAGCCATGGCTAACTGAGGAAGTAAACGGCTGAGAGGGTGAACCTGACATGGGTGTTGACAAGAAGCATATGCCCGAGTTTCTCAAGAGTAAAGGGAGCCTTCAGAAGTAGGAGGCACTTAATTCAGGTTTACGGGCTTGTGAGTGGAGATGGGCTGATAGACTCGGCTTCATGAATCAGGTGGAGAACCTCACGTGTGAGGACTCACTCCAGCAATTCCAGTTTCCCACGGAACCTGTGCCCTCTTCCCCAGTTCCCCAACTAGCAAATATTCAATGGTTTCCTAGCTTCCTTACAGCTTTTCTTCCTTCTAAAAGATTGATCTGCCTCACTGGAGGCTTAGTTACCAGTGATGAGAGCTTTGGGCATCAGTCTGCTGTCATTTGTGGGATTTAGACCTGTCCCCTTTGCCTCTGGCTCTTCTCACCACACACCTTCCACCAAATTTGACGTAGGCCTGGAGCTAGAAGAGGTTCAGCACCTCTGGTATCAGCAATTAGTCAAGACTGCTGCTGGAATGCCTGCCTTTTGGCTCCAGCTATATTGCAAATGAGTTTCCCTGACTTTGCTTCTCCTTTGAACTGATCTCTTTGATCTTGGGTAAGCCATTCTGGGAGTGTTTTGACTATAGTCAGAGCAAAATTGCTTTAAATAAACGAATCAAAGAAAACTGAACAGTCAATTCAGCCTTGTCATTTTAGGTTTTGTTTTTGCTGGCATGTTGCTATTTCAGAAGACGTGGATGGCAATGGAAGCATTCTTCTCCCCCTTGTTTCTCCCCTGCGAGGAACCAGAGGGCTTGCATTACCCCATGGATAGTTCTCCATTTTAGCCTCACAACAACCCTGTGAAGTAGACTAGTCAGTGATCCAAAGTGAGCCTCATGGCTTGGTGGGGTCTAGAACCTGGATCTCCTGAGTCCCAAACACTCAAACCATAGGTGGCGCCCAACCTATGGAATTCACTCCCCAAAGAGGTCCGCCTGGCACCGTCGTTACTGGTTTTTCGGCACCAGGTAAAGACCTTTTTATTTAAACATCATTTCAATTGTTAAAACATATGATCTGGCCTGGGCAACTTCTTCTTCCTTCTCTTTCTCCTCCTATATTTTTATTTTATACTGATAATTTTAATTTTGTATTTGTAAATCAATGTATTTTTTGTATTGTTATATTTAATGGTAATTTATTATGTACTATTGTATTTCAATGTATTTTATCATGTTGTAAGCCGCCCCGAGGTTTCGGCAAGGGGCGGCATAGAAATGTTATAATAATAATAATAATAATAATAATAATAATAATAATAATAATAATTCCCACTGCTTCTTAAGGTGTTTGGCCATATTGGTTGGATTCCGTATGCTTCTTTGAACTATAGGGAGTTGGCATGCAATGTATTTTAATAACTGTGTCAAAGATAAATAATGTTGTGTCAAAGATAAATAAAGTTGCAAAGATAAAATAATGCTGCGATAAAGTCAGTCCAACCACATGACATTCAAGGGTGTGCTCGGCTAAATATACTCTCTAGACAGAGCAGACTTATCTTAGAAAGATGGGTAACACATTCCTTCTGGACAGAGGAATGTTTTTCACTCTAGGCCGATACAAGACTCGTATCAGTTTCCTGGAAATTCCAGAAGGAACCCTTTGGCTATACTTGGAAAAGGATGGAAAGGTGTCATCTTTGGTTGCATATTTATTGATTGATTGATTTAAAACTTTTCTAGACCATATCTTACTGTGGTCTTGGGATGGTTTAACAATAAGATTGCTTCAAATCTTACTGTGTACTGTGGTTTGAGATGTTGACATGATGAGACCACGTTTTTGCTGTACCAGATTTTCAGCTTTGAAATAGCTTTTCAGGACTGTTGTACTATCTTGGTACGTGCATTAGCCTTGGATTGGCTTTGATTTATTTCTTGATCTGCTTTTCATGAGTTGGGTCTGTTTCCTTAAGTGTCGTTTCTGTTTTCTTCAGAAGAAGAGATGAATGTGCTCACCTCCCACTTTTGGTGGTCAACATTCCAGGTTGAACTCAACTCCTTATGGAAAGAATTTGCTCTTGTTTGTGAAGCTAATTAGCAAGAGACTCCAGATGAACAAAAAATAAATCCTCCTTCACAGAGGAGAAAATTAATGTTTGGAATTTGCTGCTAGAAGATTTATGTATTCATTTGTTTCTTCATTTATCAGTTTGGTTTTCTTTTTTATAACCCTAGATCATCATAATAGAAGAGAAAGTGCCCAATACACTATAAAAAGTAATAGCAGAGAGCTAAAACATAAATAAAAAGGAATAACTAATAATCCAGTAGTACAATCCAATGGGCACCAGATAGAGACTGTAATTCAGGACTTTTGGATTCCTGGATACCATGTCAGAAAATCATTCGGACCTCAAAGTTGGGGAACTTCACATGGGGAACCTACCCTCACCCCCCACAACTGGTGTGAAGGAGAGCAGTTGGAGAAGGGCCTGAAGTGTGTTCCAGATACAACATACTTTGGGGTGTGCTCCCGATACAACATACCTTGGCAGTGCCACAACAACTGTCTTTCCTTCCGTTCAGAAGGAAGCTGTAGTTAAACTTCTTTCTTTACTTCTTTATTAAATTTACACCCTGCCAATTCACCAGAATGGCTCTCTGGGCTTGCACAATATAATAGCAACAACGTGGGATAATAATATTAAATTAAACATATATGCTACAACAGTAAATGTATTGCAATGGAAGCTATATGGGAAAGGGCATAAAGAGGGGAAGCTGAAGAGTTCTCACGCATTGAGAAGGGAAGCTCTCAGCCATCAGGGCTTCTCATGCAGTGCAACTTTTATTTTGAGCTTTGCAGGAGAGAGTTACGGAGAACCTGTTTTGGGGCTGGCATTCAGGACCATGGATAGCTCCCGGAAAGCAGGGAAAGGCAAGCTGCGAGGGGAGAAGAGCTTTGCTGGCGCAGCTTCTCCTGGCATTGCAGAGCTGGCAGTTGCCTGGGGCACTGGGGGAAGAGGAGACAAGCAGCATCTCTGTATACGACCTGCTTCTCCCCATCGGCTTCTGGTGGGCCTTTGAGGCCTCAAGGCTGAGCTGCATCTGGAAAAGCTCTCATGGGCTGGAAAGGGACTGGTGGGAGTTCTTTTTTTAAAGCACCGCGTTGTGATTTTAATCTCTTGCTGCCTGGAAAGGGAATTTCCAGAAAGGACTCTCGCTGGATTCAAGAGAATAATTTGCAAGCATGAGCGCTTTGAATCGCTCTGCACCGAGTTTCTTTGCTGCCATCGCCTCGGTTAAAACTGGAGCTGGAAGCTTTCCGAACTTACTTTTAAGCGTGTGTGTTTCAGGTTTAAAGCATAAAACTTTAGACAGGTGGTGGAAATTCCTTCCAAGGAACCTCACCCTGAGAAAGGTTCATCCTCAGCACTACTGCGGATCCTCAGGATCAGAAATCATATGAAAAGGGATCGGGATGAAATCCAAAAAGGCTTCCAGACCCGTCCCCGAACATAAAGTGGGGTTTCTTTCGTGGCTTGGGCAGTTTGACTTCTAGTAGAAAGTCTAGATTAGAAACAGCACCCAAACAACCATCGCCAGTAAACCAACACTAGTCTCACTGGTGCAAGAGCGCCACCTGTCGGATTTGAGCGGAAACCTCACCTGGAAGCCGCAAGAATTGAAGGGAGGGGGGCAGGCAGGAAGTCAACTGGTGCTGCTTTCCCCCGAGATGGAAATGCGGAAAATCTGCCTCTGTGGGATGTCTGCCTGCCTGGCAGTTGATACAGACTTCAAATGCAGGGGCTTGGTTGAGGCAAGAAGAGTTGCTTCGCGCAGACTCTAGCATCTTTAGTTTGCAAAATAAAACATTGCTGCGTTGCTGGAAACCCTAAACTAGGTGGCTTGCCGTCCAGCCACGGATCTCCAGCTTTGCATTCAGCAGCTTGCATGATCGAGCTGGCTTGGAGGAGATATGCCCCCTCCAGTCCCGGAGGCGCTATCCCCGCGTGGAGGAAACGGGCTTGTGCGTTTCCCGTGGGCAGCCGGGTGGACCTAGATGATGGGAGGAAGCAGCCGCGCGTTTTTTGTTTTGTTTAGTTTTGTTTTTTTTGGTGGGGGGGGCGTTTTGTCTGCTCAAAAGTAAGTCCCGTTGCATTCCAAGGTTATGTTGGAAGTAGCGCGGCTTTAGAAACTGGCTTGCTTCGGAGGCTGGGCTGTACACGCACGTGTACTGATCTAATCCAACCCCGCCTTTTTTTTACTCGTGCAATGTTTTCAAGGCGTGTGAGTGTGCACGTTTATATATAAGACTAACTGAAATGCAGCCTCTAACAGCAGCATTAGCAACACGGCGTACTCTGCGCTTTCCCGGGCGCGCCATCTATTCGTACGGCAGCCCTGCCCGCGGACGTCGCCATCTTGCCGTACGGAAAACGACCTTCCTTCTAGAGGGCGCCATGTTGGCGCCACGGAATCCCGCGAGGCCCAAAAGCAGTGCAGCCTGCAGAGCCAGGCGTGGGAAGTTTCCTCCTCCGCGCGTTCGGCGCTGTTTTGTTTGAAGGGTCCCACTGGCCGGGCTTCGGGGAGGGGAGGAGATGACGACGATTAAAAAGCCGTTTTTCTCCCCCATGAGTTTTGCAAGGGGAGGGAACTAGAGGGGCCGAGGCAGCTGCGGGGAGGGGCGGACGTGGGGTGATGAGGCGGGGACATCCCGTGGCAAGCCTCTAGGGACGGAGGTAGGGAGGGGTTCCTTTTGGGGGCGGGGGAGACATCGCTGCTGGAGTGGGGGGTGCAGCAAAGGAGGATCGAGGGTCTTCATGGCGGAGAAGGTTAGCCATGGTCCTAGTCCGGATGCCTCCGGTTCCTGGCCGGCGTCAGAGGCAGTAGACTGGGGAGCAGGGGAGTGCTGTGCCACGCTTGTTCCGCTGGTGGGCCTCCCATATTGTTTTGACGAGGAAGGCTGGACTGGGCGGAACCAGCAGGGCTTTATGTAGGTCGGGGGCACATCGCGTGGCCACCTCCGTTTCTGCCTCGGCCCCAGTCTCCAGCCGCCGCGTGCGGGAGTGCAGGGGTTCCCTGCGCGCGATGGCGGCTGAAATTCGGTCTGAGATGGGGCACGGGTGCTAGGACTGCGATTGTCTCAGAAAATGGCCGTTCCGCTGCTCTGGCTTTCGCAGTTTGATTAGAGGGGCCAGGACTCAGTGGCGTCTCAAACATCACGAGGGCATCTGACTGGAGAAAGCTGCCCTAGCGCTCGGCTGCCATGAGGACTGCCTGAATCTGACTCAGCACCGAGAGGAGACACCCATGAATCCCAACGTGTTAACATTTGATCCGGTGCTTTACAGCATTGCTACTCTTGTTCTGACCATTCTCACAACGGCCTAGCAAGAGATGAGGGGTCTGCTGCAGAAGTAGTTCCCCCGGTCAGGAGGCGATGCAGGTCTGAGCAGGGACTTTTTTGTCAGGGCCCTTAAGCTCGCTAACCCTCCCCTCAAACAGAGAATGGAGGAAGTGGTCTAGTGGAGTCAGTAGCACCGACGGCAGTCCTGTTCCCTCTTGCCCATTTTCTTTCTTTATTCGATCCTCGCCTTGCCTTTTTGCTTCCAAGTGGCTTGCATCTTTCTCCTCCTCCTGCTCTCCATCTTATCCCCACAACGTCCCGGTGAGGTAGGCTGGGCTGAGAGTCAGTGCCTGGCCCAAATTCACCCTATGAACTGCATGGCTGAGTGGGGACTCGAACCCGGGTCCCCTGCGTCCCAGCCCAGCGCTCTTAACCACTGCACCACACTGGCCATGGGTAGCTTTGGACCAGTCCTCCCCTTGAGCCCAGCCTCTCCCACGCAGGTCCTCGTGAGGCTAAAATGCAGAGGACGAGGCTCCCCCTTCTGCTGCTGGCCTCCTTGGAGGAGAGGCAGGATCTAAACCGATTCAATAAATAAACTTAATATCTGGCTTTGATCCGGTGCTATTGCAAATTTTGCACCAATGGCATTGCCTGTATTATTGTATCGTTCCAGTTGTATTGGATTTTCAGGCTGTGATTTAATACGGATTTTATTGTTATGATCTGCTTTATATGCTATGAAGCATGAAAACCATGCACATAAATTGTTTAGGAAATATTGCATATTCATTCATTTGTTTGTTTCCCGTACATTCCAATTCCCGGGGCGGCTGGGGAGAGTCCTTATGCACAGCAGTGCCAAGCCTGAACTTTACGGGAGCTATCCAGGGTCCTGAACCTCAACCCCAATAGATTCCCCAGCAGCGAATACAGTGGGGAGCACCTATAAAGCTCACAACCACATTTGATGTTTTCAAATAGATACATCATGCATTCTTTCTATTTATAGATCTGTGGGTTTAAGTTTACGGCAGAAGGCAAAACATGGATGCAGAAAACCCCATCAAGGAAAGGGTTCTCATTACAGGAGGAGGTGGTTACTTTGGTTTCCGGTGAGTTCGTAAAGAATTAATTATGTTTTAGAGGAAGGACTGACTCTGATGCAAGTTCAGGCAGAAACAATGGCTTGCAACTCTCAGGATATTCCAACTGGCTAGTGGGAAATTGCTAGCGTGGTGTTGTGGTTAGAAGGGTGGACTGGTTAGAAGATTAGGAGATCCTGGCTCTAGCCCCCACCCAGGCAAGAAACTCACTGGGTGACATTGGGCCAGCCACTCACTTTCCATCTAATCTACCTTGCAGGGTTGTTGCTGTGAGGATAAAGTGAAGCTGTATAAGCTTCCTTGGCTTCCTTAGAAAAGGGGGGGCAAGCAGGCTATAAATGCAATGTAAAAATATTTTTAAAATGAGGATAGGAACATATTTTAAACAGAGCAATAAAGCTACAATCCTATTTAGCAGCAGTACCGGTATTTTTTTCCCCAAAGAATAACAAAAATATCTGGGGCAAATGCAGTGTGGTCTTGTTTACCTGGGAAAATTCTAAGCTACTCAGTTCTTGCTCTCAGGTAAGCATCTGTAGAATTTAAAGAAAAACATGAAGCAAAGCAAAAGGAAAAGTGGTTGGCAGTCAAGGATTGCAGCCTTGGACTTTGAAAAAATTAAAGAATCAGTTCTTAGAGCCTTGAAACAATTAAATAATCTTTAGTTGATCCATTATCTAGTTTTCGGGGGGGGTGGCGGCGGGAACTGTTGCTCACATGTGGATGCGGCCAATCATCCAGTGAGGAACAGGAGACAACAGTCTTCTCCTCACCCTCCTCGCCGTTCATTTGTTTTCATTTTTCTCCTCATCTTTCCTGGCCCGTTTTCTGTGCAGCTGCAAGCAGGAGGATCAGATTCCCAATTCCCCCTTTGGAGGATGCAGTGCTATCCTCAGAAGGCAGAATCCAGACAACCCTGCAGTCCCAGGTCTGCAGCACCGCTCCCTCAACCAGTGTAATTGAATTGTATCTTCACATTACCAAAAATACAGCATAGTTTTTTCCCTCGATATGGAAAAGGCTGTGAGATACAGTGAAGCAGAAAAAGGTTGTCTCCTAGGGTAGGAAGACAACTATCCTCTGTAATATTTGTTTCTTTCAACCATTTGATTTTTGATTTGAGTTGATTTATATCCCTAAAAACCATTGTCCCTTATTACAGTAACACACCGACACAAAATAGGATCAGAGCATCCTCACAGGACAGGCTCTGCCATTTGACCAGCTGTTCCTTAGCCTAATGAAAGTCCATAGCCCTTTCTGGACCGTCGCCGCATTCGGTGCCACGTGCTTCTTAGTCCCTTTGAAAGGGGTTGGAAGACTTTGCCGAAGTTCTCCATCGCCAGTGACTTGTGTTCCCTGCCGTCTTTCAGGCTAGGTTGTGCCCTTTGCAGGGGAGCGGTGGACGTGCTCCTGTTCGATGTCTCGAAGCCCACCCAGGAGATGCCGGAAGGGGTGACGTTCCTGCAGGGCGATGTCCGTGTCGCCTCTGAAGTGGAAGACGCTCTCCAAGGGGTGTCTTGTGTCTTCCACATTGCTTCCTACGGCATGTCAGGCCGGGAACAGCTGAACCGCCGGCGTATAGAAGATGTGAATTTGAGAGGGACGGAGAACGTCATCCAAGCTTGCTGGAAAGTGGGTGTCTCCAGGCTGGTTTACACAAGCACGTACAATGTGGTGTTTGGGGGACAGGTTGTGGAAAACGGAGATGAGTCTCTGCCTTATTTGCCTCTCCACCTTCACCCAGACCATTATTCGAGGACCAAAGCGTTGGCGGAGATGAAAGTGCTGGAGGCAGATGGGATGATCCTTGGGAATGGCCAAGGCACCTTGAGGACCTGTGCCTTGAGGCCTGCTGGCATCTATGGTCCTGGCGAGCAAAGGCACCTTCCGAGGATTGTCCGCTATATTGAACAGGGCTGGTTTCGGTTTGTCTATGGGGACCCAGGAAGTCTGGTGGATTTTGTGCACATAGACAACCTGGTCCAGGCACACACATTGGCTGCCCAGTCTCTGGCCTCTGGCGAGGGGCAGAAAGCAGCTGGCCAAGCTTACTTCATTTCAGACGGTCGGCCGGTCAACAACTTTGAATTTTTCCGGCCTTTGGTAGAAGGCTTGGGCTATGCTTTCCCAACACTGCGCCTCCCTCTCCCTCTTGTTTACTTTTTCGCATTTCTCACAGAAATGGTGCATTCTCTGGTCGGGCATTTGTATAACTTTCAGCCCCTGCTGACCCGCACAGAGGTTTACAAGACGGGGGTGACGCACTATTTCAGCGTGGAGAAGGCCAAGAGGGAGCTGGGCTACGAACCCCGAGAGTACGGCCTGGAAGAAGTGATCGAGTGGTTTAAATCCCACGGCCATGGCCGAAAGCTCAGCACATACACCATAGCGCATTTCATCCGGGATGCCGTGTTCGTTCTGCTGCTTGTGGTGGTGGTCCTCTCGTGGTTCCCCCAGGCAGTGAGAGCGTCTGATGGAGACACAGAAGAATAATGGCACAGTCTTCCTTGGACCTTCGTGAGGGTGCTAAACGGGGAAGATGCCTGGAATCGACCTTTCTTTGCTACTCCAGAGAAAGGAGCAGCGTGGGACCTTGTAGCTCTCCTGCCCTGACTTGCCCCCATCTCCCAGAAGCCTCTGCAAAAGGAAGACAAAAGAAACTTCTCATATGTTCTTCTTTTCTACTAGATGAACACCTAACTCTTTGCTCGACACCTTTGGTAAAGCTGAGGGACCAAATGTTAAGCAATGGGAGGAAGGTTACTTCCAGTGGTATATTCAGGGCTGTTCACTATTTTTTAAGCTCAGGGATATTTCCAGATATTTTGGCCTAACATTCCCAGAATCCCTCACCATTGACTAGGCTGCCTACAACTGATGGGAACCGTGTGCCAAACTATTAGGAGAGCCGTCAGCTGCTTTAGGCTGTTTTTACTTCCAGTCTTGGGTCTTACTTCTCCCGTTCTGGTGCTTATCTTTGCCTAAGAGCTAAATCTTAGGATGGGTGCTGCTAATTCTAGGCTGGCTGCGACTGAGGCGAACTGTGTGCCATTTCTGTTGCATCGAATGAAGTATGTTGTAGCTCGCAGAATCTTGGGCCAAAATAAACGCGTTTCGTCTTTCCAGTGCCATTGTTCCCAGTCTTAATTCTCCACAAGGGTTGCTTTGAGTTTGGAACACATGTTACCCTATGAATTTCTGAAGCTTTGTCTACTCAACCTGGGATGAATGGAAAGCTCAGCTGAGTTCAGAAGAAAGGAGCCCTTCAAACAAGTCAAGTGAATCGATGCTTTATGTATGGCTAAATCATGTTGCAAGGGTTTAGTTCTGAGGATGGCAGAGATGAATGGGATACTGGGAACTTTCTGTCCTGTTTATACCATTAGAGCATTTTGAAGGGTTTTGTGGAGGCAGGGTCAGGACAGAAAAATAACTGCTTTGCACAACAGAGCCATGGAGGTGGCCAACTGCGTACAGTAGATGCCTTGAAAAAGGGGTAACTCCTCAGAGGGGCCATTAACCACGATGGGCACCTGGTGTCCCCATGTTCAGAAGCACTTGCAAGGGTGGTTGGCTGCAGAAAGCCCCCCAGGCGGGGCTTAAAGCAGGGAGAAAAACCCTGCAGGGTCTGATTGGCTTGCCAGGCTCCCTAGTCTGGCCTGCGGTACCATTCGGGGTTCTCTGTGGGGTGGGACTTCACCGACAGGCCCACATCTGGAGGAGCGTGGCCATCTGGAGGAACTGGACCCCATGGGAAGCACATCAGATTAGACTGAGGGCACAGAAGATAAGTTCCGAAGGCCAAATCCCCAGGAAGCCACTCCCCCTTCCTCCAACGCCACCCCATTCCCCCATCTGCCACTCATTTGGTACGTTCCTGGCTTTAGTGCACATGACCCCTTTTCGAAAAGTTGGAAGTGCCTTTCCTTAGCCTTGCTGGCAGTGAGAATTTAAGAAAAAAAACATGTAGGCTTTGTGAGCTCGTTGGCCTCGGAGAACCTCTCCAAATGGGGTTCATCTTTAATCCCAAAGAGGTTCTATATCCCTTCACTAGCTGGACTGCTACTGTTGATTTCATTCAGCAGGGTTGTATTTTATTATTATTATTTGTTTCCGTTACGTTTAATTAAAGTCTCTAACATTTTGTTTCTGGGACACTTGTAGTGGTAGAGTATCTAATGCTTTCCAGAGCTATGTGATTAAGGTAGGGAGGGGCAGGGGGAACTCAAGGTTTATGGGTTTGTTGCTTAATTTTGAAAGCAACTGCTCCTCGGTTAATGCCTATGAGGAGAAAAACAATAATTGCTCTTTCAGCAACTCGAGCTTCAAAGTTGCGTCCTTGCAAATGCATCTGTTTTCATGCTTCTTTCAGGCTCCCCTGCCTGCAATGTTCTTTCAGAAACTAAAAAAATAAATAAAAACCCAACAACAACTTTTGACTGCATCGGGTATGCCGAAAGGGACTTTGGTTTAACATTTAGATGAATGATGATCGAAATGCAGTTACAGGCTGTTTTTTCACTGCTCCCTGTACTGCGTTATAGCGCCAACAGGAAAAGGCTAATAGACTTTAAATTTATAATCTACAGAACCATGATCTTATGTTTGGAATGAGCGTCTATACTGATATAGTAAATTCTGCACTTACAGTCTCCTCAAGAACTTACGTGTTCCTGAACTTGTAGCCAACTGAAATATCTGCTTCACATCCCCAGTTCCAGATAGTTTAGATGGGAATTGAATGGGTTTGAGGTGTACATTTAAAGGTATTTTCAATAGCTAAAAGCTGAATGGTGTGCCTTGTATGTATTTATTATGGGCTAGGAAATCGGGATATAGCAATGGAATGCAACCTGGTGTAATCAGACATAATTCGGTGTAACTGGTCCATTGGGAACACAAAGGTGGGATGTAATTTATGCAACAGGTAACAAATTGGAAGTAATACACATCATTTGGTGGAACCAGTGCAGTGGGAACACAATGGTGCCATTTCCAAAGATGGGAACTTCACCAAGAATAATTTGGTGCGATCGGTCATTTCTCCTTCTTCTTGTCCCAGCAATGGAACGGTCTGAGGAGACAGAATATTATGCAAAATTAATCTGAAGACAAGATATGCTATGACATTTTATACATACGCTCACATATAACATGTTATTTGGAGAGGGGAGGGAATCACAGACGTTCTCAGTTGTAAGTTTTAAGCTGATAATCCTTTTGCTTTTATCGTCTCTGGTGCAATTGGGTATGGCTAATGTGGATAATTATTTGAACTCAAGTATTATGTCAGAATGTTTCCAAATTTTAGCATGCTATTAAATGCTAAATATAAATTATCCAGAGCATGGTTGAAAAGATACCTGTTTAAAAAAAGAAGAAGGGCAGGGATGTGGAAGGGAGGGAGCGATTGAAGTCACTGCGCACCTGAATAGCACTGGGAACAACCGGCATTAGAAACACTTTCTTCCTTTCCTGAACACCTTGAAAGACACGAAGAACAGGCATTGATATTTTTAAACCTTAAAGAAGGAAATGGCTGCCTCTAAAATTGTAGGCAGCTGCCTAATCAGCCCTCGGAATGAGCAAAGCCAACGGAAGACCAACTTCCTTGCTGCTTTTCCTGCAGACCACGCTTTTTCCATGCACACGTTTAATTATTTAAAAATAGCTGAAATAAGATTGCGCTTGTTCCACCGAATGAAGGCAATGGAGCTTTTATTATTTCTAAATGGCAGGCCACAACTGCTATTTTCCTCAAATCAATTTGTTTTCATTTACTAGGCTATCGGCATGTGTCTCTGCTGGCATCATTTCTTCATTTGCAATATTTCTCAGGTAGCTTTTGGAGCAGTAGCCCTCTCAAGATGCTTTCAAACAGAAAATTCACATGAGAAAAACCGCAGCAGCAACAAGCACTCCAACACAAATCACAAACATCCGCCTAAGACAAAAGCTAGAACAAACAACTACAGCTAAAAAGCAGTCTGATAAAACAATCATGGGAAGGCTAGCGTAAAGCAGCATGTCTTCAGGGCCCTCCTGAAATCCTGCAACAAGGAAACCTGTCCATCCACCAGTGCCAGCCTATTCTAGAACTGTGGGGCCACTGTGGAAAAGGCCCTATTTCTTTAGGATTGTGTCAAGTTCTGTCAGACTTGCATACTTGAAGGAGCCGTCAAGACACTGGAGATGGGGCTTTTCCACCACCACGAAGCATGAAAAGTGCTACCTTTTTGCAAACCAGTTCCACCCTACTCTCCACCCTTCCTAATCATAGTGCCCTTTAGATTTTTTGAACTACACACGTATGGTTAGCCATGAGTCCCTTTCAGAAGCTTAGGGTTTCCCCTCTCATTGGCCCCTGCCAATATTGAGAATGGCCAGGAAAGCTGGAACTTCTCCGGTCAAGAACATCTGGAGAGGGTCAGCTTAACGATTCTGGCTGCAACTATAACTTCTTTAAAATTAACATTTCTGAAGATTCATGTCTTTCCCTGGTCTTTCCAAACTAACGACAGCTCATGGAAGAGAACAGAGAGCGTAAAATCAACATTTCCCACCGTACAAGTATATGCCAAAGGGAGCAGTAACAGGATCTCTTGTGTTTCTCCTCTTGGGGACCAAAAGTAAATTAGATTGCCAATACCTCTAGGTAAAGGGAAAAACAAATTACAGCACTAACAACTCTTTGCATGTATACCCCAAAAATGTGTACCTCCTCTCCTTTAAATTAAATAAGGAGCCCAAGCAGGCTTTGAATTGCTACATTACATTGCATCTTCAAAGTCCCCGAACTTCAAAGCTATTTAATGAGTTGTATTAATGTATGCACAAACAACAGACTTTTTTCTTCCTTGGCACCTGCAAAGGCTCAATTTGCATAGGAATCACATTTATGAAAGTGTTCTACCATTTTTAAGTGGTTAGAAAATGTGCTCTAGTTTCCTTGGCGTGCCAGGTGCTTCTGCAGAAGTTTGGAAACTGTTTTGGGTTTTGCTGTGTTTTGTTTTGCCTTCCTCTTTTCCTCTAGTAGCCACCTGGCAAGGGAAAATAGAATGTAACCCAAAAGGAGGGATCCCCTTGAACAAGAACTATTGGTCCACCTGGGTAGATCTTCGACTGTTCTGGACATCTATTCCATTCTAGGAGATCAATGGTCAGCAACACTGTGAAGTCCAGACCGTCTGGTATCTCCATTCCGCTCAGCCCTTGTCTACCCCGACTGGCAGATCCTGATGACCCCCTGAGGTTTGGCACTCCAGGGCTATAAACCTCAGCCCCAACACACCTGTAGTGGGTGACCTTGGTACTCTGACTTTCTAAGGGCCTGAGTTACCAGATTTTGAAGACGATTCAGAGGAAAAGCTAATGGGAAGACTGGGAGGATGCAAGGGAGGCAGAAGTCTTTGATGCTCCATCAAGGTTGCTGCAGTTCCCCAGGCCATCTGTGAGAGCGGAGCTGCTTGGGATGAGATGGGATGGCTTCCAGGAGAGGAAGGAGAACCTTGTGTGGTCCCTGGAGCCTCCGAAGGGATGAGCCACCCATTTAGATGGCTTGTGTACCTCCCACCACCTGCCTCTCCACTAGCAGGAGCCACCATGGAGGTGGAGCTCACAGCATTACTAAAAAGAAGGACTGGGGAGAAGTTTCCAGTTTGGATCGAATGGTCTTTATACAAACAGAGGCTTAGAGTTGGATTGTCTGAGCTGCAATGTAAAAGGCACTCTATTTTTTTGGAGCCTGAGGACAAGAAGGGAAGGTTCTGGCTTATGGCAGTGTCCAATTACCAGCTATGATGGAAGTATTTTATTTATTGATTTATTGATTTATATCCTGCCTTTTTCCTACCAAGGGCTCAAGGCAGCTTGCATCATTCTCCTCCTCCATCTGATCCCCACAACAACAACCCTGTGAGGTAGGTTGGGCTGAGAGCCTGCTACTGGCCCAAAGTCACCCAGTTGGCTCCACGGCTGAGCAGGGACTTGAACCCGGATCGTCTGAGTCCCAGTCCCATGTTCTTAACCACTACACCACACTGGCTCTTGTTGTTGTCCCAAACATTTGGAGAGCCCCAGGTCAGTGTTCCTCCTTCCAAAGTTTTGGGTTGGGGTTCAGGAAATC